CTGTGTGTTTTTAATCTAAAACCATTGTTTTTATACTATTCTCAAGGACAGACACAGTCCTTGGTAAATGTCTCCTTGCTGTAGCGTGTGTTCTGGGTACATAAGCAAAATCAGAACCCCTACGTACCAGTCCCCTCAAGCACTCCTGGTAGTGACAGTGCACCTGCTCCAGGATCTGTTTACTCAGTCCAGTCTAGGAGGGAGGTGTTTTTAATCTAAAACCATTGTTTTTATACTATTCTCAAGGACAGACACAGTCCTTGGTAAATGTCTCCTTGCTGTAGCGTGTGTTCTGGGTACATAAGCAAAATCAGAACCCCTACGTACCAGTCCCCTCAAGCACTCCTGGTAGTGACAGTGCACCTGCTCCAGGATCTGTTTACTCAGTCCAGTCTAGGAGGGAGCGTGGGTTTATATAGTGCTCGCCATTATGTGCCCCAAACCTTCTCCTGCAAATGCCGCCCCCGGCCTGCAGTGAGGAGGCTATTGTAAATGGTCAGTGGTGAACGACTGCAGCAGGAACACCCAAGAGGCCCCCGATTGCCAGGTGACCTAATTTGTTCTCATGGGTTGTTTTGTTTTTTTTCAGTTCCTCTCAGGCTGCGCTTGGCAAGTCCCAGTGCCCACTTGTTTCCACATCCCATCTGGAGGAAATCCAGAGCTTGGGACACAGCCAGGTAAGAGAATGTACTCAGACTACAAAGGAAGAGACATCTGGGGCGTAATGCTCTCCAGCTGCAGCTGGGGAGTGTGCAGTAGAGATCCTGTCCTTTAACCACAGCCCATCCCATCGCTGTCAGTCGTCATTGGGATGTGCTTGAAAAAGGCAGACAAGTATTCTAGTTCTAGGCTTTTCTGCCAGAGGTGAATCTCCCCTGGCTAACATTCTCAGTGTTGGCTGCCTCAAATTAGTCACCAAAGTAAACACATAACTTAGGGCTTGATGTGGATAGGTGCTGAGTGTTCATAGTTCCCATTTGTTTTCAGAGCTGAGCTCCTGTGTTGGGTGCTAGGATCTTTGGAAAGTCTGGCCCGAAGTTTCTCAGTGGGAGCTGCAGGGTGCTGAGTTCTTTGGGGCGATTCAGCCACCTGCGGAAGGGCTTGCTGTTTCAGCCAGAGCCTTTGGCAAAGGTGGCGTTGAATGTCTCAGGCAGGGGTCTCGAACTCATAGCCCATGAGCCGCCTGCATGTCAAGCAGTTCCACAGTCTGGCACTTGCCAGGCTGCTGGCATGTGAGTCCCACTAGGCATTTAGGCTGGATTAGCGCCTGATTGCATATTAAAGATATCGATTCACGTCCTAGCAATTTCTTCTTTTAATGCCTAGAGACAGCTCTCTGCTCCAAGGTCTCCAAACTCAAGCTAGGCAAGTTGTCAGAGGCCAATTCCCTGGGCAGTGTTGACCAAATACTCTACTAGAGAGGGATTTTCTTTCCTGTATAGTGCTTATCCACCCTTCAGTAAATGAATCGTGTGTCACTGTAGCTGCTGATCCTGCAGCCCATATTATTATAACATAAGAATGGCCAGACTGAGTCAGACCAAAGATCCGTCCATTCCAGTATCTTGTCTGCCAATAGTGGCCAATACCAGGTGCCCCAGAGGGAGTGAACCGAACCAGTAATGATCAAGCCATCTCTCTTCTGCCATCCATCTCCACCCTCTGACATACAGAGGCTGGGGACACCATTCCTACCCATCCTGGCTAATAGCCATTGATGGACTTAACCTCCATGAATTTATCTAGTTTTCTTTTAAACCCAGTTATAGTCCTAGCCTTCACAACCTCCTCAGGCAAGGAGTTCCACAGATTGACCATGCGCTATGTAAAGAAGAACTTCCTTTTATTTGTTTTAAGCCTGCTGCCCATTAATTTCATTTGGCCCCTAGTTCTTATATTATGGGAACAAGTAAATAACTTTTCCTTATTCACTTTCTCCGCACTACTCGTGGATAAACATATCATTTAACTCACTCTTTGTGCCCATTATGGAAGGTCTGCACAGAACTGCGTACTTCAAACCACCGTAGATTGTGTATAGAGGCGGTCCCTGACTTACGCGGATCCGACTTATGTCAGATCCGCAGTTACGAACGGGGCTTGCCCCGGAGGACACGGACTGCGGGACCTCGCGGTCCTGCCGCCCGTGTACTCCGGGGCTTTCTCCGCGTCTCCCTGGTCTGCAGACCAGGAAGGCGCGGAGCAAAGGTTGAGAAATTGGAGACGGTCCAGAGAAGAGCAATAAAATGATTAAAGATCTAGAAAACATGAGCTTATGGGGGAAGACTGAAAGAATTGGGCTTCTTTAGTTGAGAAGAGAAGACTGAGAGGGGACATGATAGATAGCGGTTTTCAACTAAAAGAGTGTTACAAAGAGGAGGGAGGAAAAATTGTTCTAGGCCTCTGAGGATAGGATAAGAATCTATGGTCTTAAATTGCAGAAAAAGAAGTTTAAGAATATAAGATTAGCCATAATGGGTCGGCCCAAAGGTTTATCCACCCCAATACCCTGTCTGCTGACAGTGGCCAATGTGAGGTGTCCCAGAGGGAGTGAATCAAACAAGTAATGATCAAGCGATCTCTCTCCTGTGATCCATCCCCCACCCTCTGACAAAAGGAGGCTAGGGACGCCATTTCTTACCCATACTGGCTAATAGCCATTAATGGACTTAACTAGATAAATTAATGGAAGTTCTCTTTTAAACTCTGTTCTAGTTCTAGCCTTCACAACCTCCTCAGGCAAGGAGTTCCACAGATTGGCTATGTGCTGTGTGAAGAAGAACTTTCTGTTTGTTTAAATCCTGCTGCCCATTAATTTCATGTGGTGGCCTCTAGTTCTTATATTATGGGAACAAGTAACTTTTCCTTATTCACTTTCTCCATACAACTCATGTGGATAAACATATCATTTAACTCACTCTTTGTGCCCATTATGGAAGGTCTGCACAGAACTGCATACTTCAAACCACCTTAGATTGTGCATGCTTAAAGGGTACACACTAGGGATGTTAGTGTATAGTTTAAATGATTAACTGATAAGCCTGTATCAGAGGCAACCAAGGCGGGGGAAGTTGGGGGGGAGGGGGTGAGGTGGGAGCTGGCTTTTAAGTTGCTCCAAATGAGTACCAAATCCTGTGGAGCCACCTGCCCCTCACCCCCCAGCCATGCTGCTGTCTCTGATAGGAAGAGGCATCAGTGCGGAGGGTGAGGGGGCAGGGAGGAGCCGGTGCAGGTGGGAAGTTGTCTTTTAAGCCAGCTCTCCATGTGTACTGGCTCCACAGAGCTGCCTGTCCCCTCCCACCGCACACTGCTGCCTCTGTATCTGAGGCAGCAGCATGGAGGGTGTGGGGAGAGAGCAGGTGGGATGCCAGAGCAGCCTCTGTCTGCGGGGAGGTGGACTCCCTGAGGACAGGGGCTGTTGCCGCCCTGTGTGGCTGCCTATTTTTAAACCTGCTTCCCTTGTGAACCAGTTCTGCCTGCCACCCTTTGCTCCTGCTTCCAATACAGCGTCATCGGTGCAGGATGGCAGGAGGCTGCCAGGGAGTGGAGCTGGGAGCAGACTGGCTGCTGGCCGTGTAACTGCTAAAAATTGTTGTGGCTACACAATTACAAAAATAAATAACATCCAACATCCCTAGTACGCACCTTCCAAGATCAGCTGTATGGTGTGAATTAGGGATGTCATATATTAAATGGTAAACTGATATGTATTAGTCTTACTGTTAATATATTGTAGTTAACGTTTCGTTGGGGCTGAGGAGAGGTGTCATGTGATGGGGGGAGAAGGCAGGGTGCTGTAGAAGTGGAATTTTCCCAGTCTCTGAGTTCTAATGTTACTGTGGCAACTCTGTTGTCAGGAAGGGAAACAAGGGGCATGTAAGGCTTCCCCCATGTGTGACTCCAGACTCCTGCCTGAGGTAGTGTCCAGCCAGGTGGAGGGGTGCCCCCCCTGCAGAAAGAG